ATAGGATTAGATTCATCTCACTTGCAATGCAATATGAGCAAATTAAATTTTACAAAATAAATCATTAGGAAATTAATAGTTCGATATATTTTTATATCTTGAAATCTTTATATATTTTTTTAAACAATAATGAAACCATGAAGTTCATAATTAATTATAGTTGTTAAATTATTAAATATTTTGTTTCTATTTTAAATGACTACGATAAGTTTTTTATCAGGAATAATTATATTTGGAGTTGGATATCGTTCGCTTGGTTAAAACGTTGTCGTTTAACATTTTCATCGTCTTTAAAAGAAAATTAGGGATTAAGGGCATTTTTTTCGTTGATTCTGTAATCACAATTGCACTTCAAAAGCTTTCGTATGTATCAACAAACTGAATTATATTACTTTACTGACTAAATTTATTGTTTTTTATCAACTCACATCACCGTTCAACTTTGTTTTTAATTGCATTATATTAACTAACAATTTGTGGGTAATTTCAGTTTTTCTTATTGGGCTTTATTTGCATCTCATTTTTCTATCTGACAATGTTGCTTATAGAAATTCCTAGCACAATTACCTGTGCTGATCTTTTGCAATTTTGAAAACATTACAATATCAGCGATGTTTTTGATTTATTACCATGCGATGGTTTTAATTTTTTTTTAGATTCACATCCCCCGCCTGGGTTTTTCACATTTTTTGAAGTTTTTCTCTAGTGTGGTCTTGTTCCTCCTTTCTCTTCATTTGTCGAAGAAGTCATGATTTCTTATAACGTTACACCCAGTCAGCTCCATCCCAATGCCTAGAAAATAGTTTTGGGTTTTGAAGCTTTATGTTTGATGCATGATATTCTACCCATGTTTTATATTTTTAACTACTTCTATGCATTGAAAAAGAGGTTGAATAGTCCGTTCTATTTTATCGATGGTAGAAAAGGTTGAGGATTGTTAACTGGATTATCAAATAAAGTGCCTGGATGGAATGATAGATATTTTCTGTTGGGTTGCAAAAAAGGTTGGGGTGGATTACCCATAGAATGGACAAAAGCTAAAATAACCCACCACAATCTCGAGAAAATAGATGTAAACCAATCTAGCATCCAAAAATTGGAGAATTTTATTCACAATAAACAAACATTTGATGTTTTCGATATGTTGGAGAAATACTCGATTCTTCAATTCAAAAGAGGTATTGCAATTTTTTACACAATCAGTTTTCATTTATTTATTAATTGTTTCTCGTGTAGCTTTTTTTTCCCCTGGTTATAGTGGATATCAAAAAAGCTTCCCCAAATTCAGCAGCTTTAATATCAACTTCTACGCCCAAATTGATGGGCCCTATTTCTGCGACACCATCTACATTTGAAATTGAAGATAAAGATGAAGATATAGAAGAGCTGCCACTGATCAGGCGAAGTAAGCGTAAAAAGGTGTGTGATGAGGAAGCTCACGTTTCAATTCCTCCCAACAGTTTAAAGACAATGTCTAAAAAAGATCTTGAAGAACTTACATCAGAAGAGGTGAATTCTGTGATTTAAAATTGATGAATTTGGTTTACTTTTAGTTTATTAAAAAAAAAATTATATTGTTGTTGTTGTTGACATGTTTGTGGAACAGAGAGTGATGGCTTATTTGGAAATCAGGAGGTGATGGTTGGCCTCCGATAAAGTCATTGCAAATTTGGAAACAAACAAAAAAAGATTTGTTGTTCACACGGCCAAAATCACAGAGGAAATAATGGATTTGGAGAAACAGATAGCATAAGTTATGAATGAATCGAGGTTTCATAAGAAGAAATTATCAATTATTGAACAATCATCAAATGCAAAGTTAGAAAATTATGTTCTTGAAAGAAAGGAGAAAGAATTGTGGGACTGCAATAGCAAGCTAAAATCTACCCTTGTTTCAGTTGAAAAGGAAAGAGATAAAGCTTTTGATTTTGTCTCACGCATGTTCTTGAACACTCGAGAAGTCTATTGTGATGCATTTAAGTTCAGATTTCTTGATGAAGATTTTAGTTTCTTAAAGAGTTCGATTTTGCAAGACGAAGAGAGAGATCTCGTAAAAGAGGATTGAAACGTCAATGTTTGTGGCAACAGCGGTAACTCGGTTAAGGCCTTGAGGTTTCCTTTTACTTATGCTTTGCTTACGGATTGGGTTCTTATAGTACTTCCGTCGAATTTTTTGGTTTAGATTTGATTTTTGGTTTTCAAAATGTCAGTTTTGCCCAAGGGTGATTCAATTTACATTTGAGAGGTGTGGAATGATAATCTGGAAGAGGAATTTGCTTTAATTCATGAAATTGTTGATAAGTATAATTACATAGCCATGGATACTGAGTTTCCTGGCGTTGTTTTGCGTCTGGTTGGGACTTTCAAGAATATAAACAATTATAACTACTAGACGTTGAAAGATAATGTCGATATGTTGAAATTGATTCAATCGGGGCTAACATATTCGGACGAGAATGGAAATTTACCTAGTTGTGGTTTGCAAGTGATTCGGTGGAGTTCTTGTGCCAATGCGGGATTGACTTTAAGAAGAATAATGAGAAGGGTATTGATGTGAATCGATTTGGTGAGCTTTAGATGTCAACAAGGATTGTGTTGAATGATGATGTTCACTGGGTTACGTTTCATAGTGGTTTATGTTTGTATTTGTAAAAATATTCCCTGATATATTATTACTGAACTGTGTGTGGAGCTATTGTAACTACTATACTTGGTTAATCACTGGTACACTCTTAAGAACGTAATTTGGATTGTATCAGCAAATATTGAAATACTGCTATTACAATATTGAAATCTATTGTTTAACCAATACAAAATAATGTCAAACAGTAAACAAACAAAAAAAAAAAAAACAATCTATATGAGAACATAGATTTGTTTAATATATTTTAATATCAAAATACATGTGTGCATTGCTTTATATATTTATCAAGGTTTAGTAAATGGTGAAGGTCCAAGTTTTGTAGTCATCTGATCAGAACATTTCGATTTGAGATCGATCGAATACTCCCGTGTCTTAAGATTAGCAACAATAAGCTTAACATCATCCACGATTTCAAATAAAGCATCAATCATATCATTGCATTTTTCTCTTGTACTATTTAGATTTTCTATGTTGCTATGAACATTGGGTAGTATTTGTTTGAACTCCATTTGTCTGTCACTCATTGCCGCACCAACAAGTTTAAAAAAACAATGAATTTCAATAAATATTTAAACATGCTAGAAATACAAATTGCATTACAATTGTATATATATATATATATAATAGAATAATCTAAAGTTGAATTCCAAATAAATAAGTCAACAAATAATAGAGAATTTCTAATATTTTTTGTTTACTTTTATATTACACAAAATTTGTATTACCTTCTCTCTTGACGCTTTCCCATTCCAAGTCAATCCTCATTTGCAGAAAGCACAGTATCATTTGCTTTCAAATCTAAAACAACACAACTATAGAGTTCATGACTTCGACCAACAAATGCATGCCTTCTTTGACTTTTGTTTTCGCAGTATTTATATCGGTAACATTGTGGTCGATGTCGCTCAAAATCCATTTCGAGTCTCCTTTTTCTCCAACCATTATCAAACCAATTAAAGGTGATAGAGATAAAGAGAGTCTACAAACGTATAAAAGTTATATGAAAAAAAGTTGAGATTGATACCTATATATACATATAGTGTCAAGAAGAGCTTAAATAAGAAGAGAAAACGAACATATAGAAAACAAATAGACGTGTTCTATTAAATGAATGCAACAATTGAAGAACCCGAAAATATCAAAAACCCAACCGAGGTGATATGCATTGACTTGAAATGTTTCATTGATTTAATAAATGATTACATCTGGAAAACCAACAAAGAAATAGTAATAAATAAGTATAATGATAAAAAAAAAAAAAAATTGTTTGGATAGTTTCAAAAGAAACAATAATATATATTTAGTTAAAGCCCATTGTTTCATACAACAGTTACAGCTTGATATTAGCATAACAATATGTTCAGTAGACCAATGGTAAGAATGTTATAGTTCAATGAATGATATAATGTTTATAAACATTATCAAACTTAATTAATATGAAATCGTATAATAAAGTAATTTGTTATTTTAATTTGGTTGATGGTTTTATATTAATCAGGTAAATAGTTTATTAAATTACTAATGACATTTTAGTTTTTCATTCCATTTATGTTTTACCGGTTGGCTTATTTGAATTAAATATATTTCACCTACTTTTCGAAATATTTAACAATAATGTTGTTTGGGTATTCCTAAAAAATTAAATATTATTTTATTAAAAAGTACACCTGCTATTTCAAAAACATCGGTCCAACCGGTTTTCTACAATCGACGGATTAACAGTGATTTATATTTCATTAATATATTCGTTTATCTGGTGTTTCTTTATTTAACACATTTTCTACTTCTTTAAGCCGTGTTCACGCCCATTGTCTATCCAACATGCTATCGGTGTAATCGTTTTGGCTTTCTCTTGTGTCGGTGCCGATTTTCTTTCGAAGGGTTTGAAGCTTTCATGTCGACATCTTCTACATTGTTGATTCAGTATTTGTATATCTCATCCCTTTTTTCAATATTGTTCTTTGCTTTTGGTAGTAGTTTCATCTGTTTATCTATGTAATCTATCATTAAAATTTGTTTAATGTTACAGTATACAATTGTATTTGATGGGCATTCCTACTAATTGAAGTTATTTCTATGCAATTATAACACCTATAAAAAAATTTGGATCAAGCATTATTAAAAATGAAAACCTAGGTTTACCGTTCATAAGAAATTAATACTTGAAGGGTCACAAAAAGGGAAGAAAAAAAAAAAAAAAAAAGTTTTGTTACAACTACGTTTTACAGTGAAATTTCTTGTTTAAGAATTTACATGTTTGAGATAATGATTTTTTTTTTTTTTTTTACCGTTTGTTTTTGTTGTTAATATATTTCAGTTTCATATTTGATCTGCTTTATTATGTAATCTTGGTAGAATGGAAAAGACGAATCAATCATCAAAGGTGGTAGAATCACAAACTAAGGGGAAAGAAAATGCAAAGAATTTATCTCCGAAAACTAAACGGAAGAAAGTTGGTAGAGGTCTTGGTAGGCGCTCTACAAGACTCCAAGGAACAGTTATGGATACTCACAATGACACTGTTCAACGTGTGATAGAATCAGTGGTTTTCACTGACAGCGACCAAGAAGTTGAACTACAATCACCTTAGCAGATGAAACAGGCTGAACCAAGTAATACAATTGAAAAATTGAAAGGAAAGTTTGACCATTTAATACACCTAATAAAAAATTAGCAAAACCAGATATAGAGATTTGTACTTCAAATCCCAAAAGAAGGTATAGAGATTCTGGTAGAATATGATTCACTTTTCTAGATGATTTCAAATGCTATATCTATTTAAGTACCATTAATGATTTTAATGATTTTGTTTTCACTCAAATTCAGGTTGAAACCTTAACAGAAGAAAATCATCAGTTGGCTTTAAAGCTACAAAATGCATTTGGAAAACTTGAAGCAGTATGACTTCTATAAATTATTAATCATATACGTTGTTGTATCACTTTTATAAACTCACAATATTTTTATAACAAAATAATATGTTTTTCCACAAACTATATTTTATATATGAATTTGGTGAAATGAATTTGATCACTTGAGAAGATCAGAAAAATTGTGTTTATTTTGTTTACTTGCAAACAGAGAAGTACATTGGATTATGTCTGGAATTGATGAACAAACGAAAGAACATGGTCTTGTCAGCAAATTCAATAGAAGTTCAAGATACAGTCAATGTATTCTCTTAACCAACGCATGAGCATCAACCTCGTCGTAGAGGTAGACCCCCATCGAGCAAGAGAAGAAATATCCACAAATGAAGACCCAATTCATTTATGTATTTAATCTATTCAATATGAAATGAATACTTTATGAAAATTTCTATGTTGTTTTCTTTTTTTTTTTTTTTTTTTTTTTTGGATTGCTTTTATAGTTTTTATGTGAAATTAAAAAACGTTTGGTTAGCATTTTTACATGAATATTGCAATGTTATGTTGTTTCTTTTGGATCACTTTTATAGTTCTTTTCCTCTTTTGTTATGCCCTTAATATGTTTGTATAAAAATGGTCTAATTATATTTCGGCATCATCCACTTGTACAATTGATACTATATTTGTAGACATGTTTTTGACATTTGATGTCAGTATTTCGTAGTGAATTGTGCATGATATTTAATATTGCCTTAATAATATTGAGATCAATTATTTAAACTTAAAATTTATACCCACTTTCCGTAATTTTTGTAACTTATAATAATTTTCAAGTTTGACATTGTCTACTACTATGTTTCTCACAATATAGGAATCATATATTTCTTTAAAATCAGTAACCTCCAGTCTAGTTCTCAAAACAAACATCTGTTCACATAGTTCATTCAAAAATTTTGTTTGTTTAATAATTGAGAACATGATAATCCAATTAATTTCTGGATTACTATATCAAACAACATAAAAGTTATTTCGGCAATTCCGTCAAACATACTCACATCTACATTTTTCCTATTATAACATTAATGAAAAATTTACTAAAATTAAATGGAGAATGGTCCTATTACCGGACCAACCATAAACATATGTTATACTTAATTTATTCATTTAAAACAGTAACAAAAAATTTAATAATTTGAAAACTATAATTGATTAGAAATTTCATAGTTTCATTATTATTATTTTTTAAAATTAAAGATTTTCAAATATAAAAGTATATCGAACTATTAATGTTGTGATAATTTATCTTAGAAAATTGTATTTCCTCAATGATGTATTACTATCAATAAACTATAATTCAAACAAATATGATCCCATAAATAAATATTGACATAAAATCACATGAATTTCAAGGGACAACATGCATTTAATTCTTTCACAGTAACATCTATGAAGTAATTCACTATCTATTTCGGCTCAAAATATCAAAACTAAACCATAACGTTTTATACTAATTGTAGTAAACAATATGTCAAATCTAGAATTATACCTGATTATTAATGACATTTTTTTTTTTTTTGTTACACATTATATAATTTGATCATATTTCATATTTCAACCATACAACTTGATTGTTCATAGAGTCAAAGGTTCAATTTTGTTATTCTTGAGTGAAGGGAACGATATTTTTTCTTTTTTACACGAAATAGTTTGTTCACTATTTTATACTAATTGTGGTTTAACGTTATATTTATTTATGTTGGCATCCATCAATTAAGATAAAGCATTTTCATAAAAGAAGTCCCAATTACATTATATACTTAATCTATCAAATGTGACATGATCACTTCATCAAGACCTCAACTTTTTTTTTGGATTGCTTTTGTAACCTCTACTGCTACTTTTAACATTCTCATCGTCACTTTCTTTCTACTCATTTCCTCGTTCCCTCTCTTTCAATGTGTCTAACATGTCTGTACAAGAATTGTCTATCCTGTTTTCAGCATCATCAGCTTCCTACCATTTTTCTAGACACATCTTTGATTTTTGGTGTCAGTATTTCGTATTCAGTCACGTCTGACATTGAGGATTGTGATCCATATTCTCCATTATTTGCCTATTGTTTTTTACAAAACATTGATATCACTTCAATAGTATGAAAATTAACCATCTAAGAATAAAAATTATACTGACCTTTTGCAATTCTCACAACTTATATTCATCCTCAAGATTCTCATCAATCAGAAAAAGTTTTGTGATAGTATAAGATTCATATCCTTCCTTACTTGATTTTGAAAACGAATATCTGTCCAGACAGCTCACTCAAAACTTTTGAGATATTCTTTTGATCATTACCTTGTTTGTTCAACAGTTGAGAACATGATAGCCCAACCAATCTTTGGGTTACTGTATCAAACAATATAAAAGTTGCTTCAGCAGTTCCATCTGACACTCGCATTTCTACCTTGTATCTGTTATAACATTAAGCAAACATTGTTACAAATAAATATCTGAAATTGAATATACTTCTTATTGCATTGACAATACATAATTATAAACAGTAAAAAATAAACAATGATATACCTCATTTGAGGAGATTTCGATTCCTTTTTGCATCGCTCACAATATAAATAGGTATTAATACTAGGAATTTTTTTCTTGCAATAGGTGCAGGAATTATAACACCAACCATATCTATCATCAACTTCGGTTATCTTGGCCTTAATTGTATACTCCATCACCTATACAATTGTCATTTATGTTCACAAACTATGTTATAATAATCAGTTTAACGTTTTAGTGAATATTATACCTCATCAACATCATGCTACACAAGATTGGTAACATGTTTAAGTGATGTTCTATTCTCAAACATTTCCTTCTCAATCGAAACTTGATTCAGAATCTTTTTCTGTAATTGAATTACTGGCAAAATTCCCATTCTGAAATAACAAAGAGTAGATAAAATTTTAAATATGATTCTATCCGTGAAATTACTTTAAAAAATTGTTTCTCAAACACATACTCTTTCTGTAGAGAATGCACCTCCCCAATATCTAAATTTATATAAATTCTAGATGCCGAAGTTGTATTGAGATATAATCTTCCTGTATGGAAAAAAACATAAGTTAGTAATCGAAAATATATTAATTTCACATAATATATTTTTATTACCTTGGAAATCCTTAACATTTGTTGAAGTAACTATTATGACAATTGGATCGGTACTTGTTGATTGCAAATCTTCACCTATTTCTTCAGAAAATTTTCCCCATAACATAATGTCAACTGCTTCTCTTAAATTAATATTAGTGTAAATTATTTAAAGTGGAAGAAGAATGTAAAAATATTAACAAAAGAATTTACTCTGCCATCTGCAATCTAATGTCTCTTTTTTTAGTCTTTGTCAACTTGATATCTTCAATTTCTCCTATTGCATTCAAAACTCCAATGATATCTACATATAATTTATCATATTTGATGTACAAAAATATTTCTCACACAGTTAAAATACAATATTCAAATTAACTATATCTGATAATAACCTTGTATCATTTGTTCTATTCTGAAGATCATGAAGACCAGTAAATTCAAATTTATATCTCGAAATGACAATTCTCAATTCTTTTATTTCTTATATAGTCGTGATCATGAGAAATTGTGTACTGTATATACCGTCAACGGGTCTGTAAGAGGGAGTAGATGGTATGACTGCTCAAATATATCAACCCTTCATGAAGCTAATTTGTAAACTTTGTAATCCTATTCTTTGGTATCGAGGCATGAATAACTTGATTCTAAAAAACCAATGAAAGTCACAAATTTAAACAAACCTGTATAAATCGGAAATAAAAGTCTCAAAATTATTTTCATACTATATTTTATACCTGTTGATCAATCAAAATCATGTCAAGGCTCATAAGTTCGTCACCCATTCTGAAATTCCTACATTCCCACAATATAGATACTCTAACAGTGACTATCCAATCATCTCTTGATTCATCAATATCTTTAAAAAAATTATTAGATATTGTTATGACTTGCCTGCAAAATGAAATTCATTCTTAATACAATTCAATAAAAGCAATAAAGACTCCCAACTGAGATTTTACAATTAAAGCAAATGTTGTTGTATCACAATTATAAATAAATAAAATAATGTTTCAATTTTATTATCTAATTCATACTATAAATATTTCTTATCACAATTTAATAGTATGTGGAATTTTTGTTCGATACTGAAATTTTAAACTCCAAGAAGAACTTACTGATTTACAATTATCTTTACAATATTATTTGTCAATTTCTTTTTTGTAATTCTATAATATTATTATACGCAAATTAATAGCTTTTATAGACGAATTCATAATCCAACATATACAACATTACAATAGAAAGATACAAATAATTGAAGGTATCACATTACCTATAACAGGAACTATATCCCAACAACTATGCCAACAATTTTTTTTTTAATTTTTTTGGGAACAATGATCTAATGATGTACTTTCAAGTACCTTTACTTATTTCTCTTAATCACGTACGACAACATAAACAACTACATATATATAAGAAACACATTAATTTCAAGAGTTGTGTATAAAACCTTTCACATTCAGATAAACACTCCTCACACTTCACATTAATTTCGCATTAAGCATAATACATAGAAAATACAATGTATTGATCTCTTTCAGATAAATATCTATCCACAAAACTGCATCAACTTCAATAACACTTAATAAACAGTATAACAATAATAACAAAATTAAATAACGACTAGGATTTTTTTATTTTTGTAATTTTTTTTATGTTGACAGCTGTAATTCTTATTTAAGTTGCATTTGATACAAACTTATACGATTATGTGACATAAATAGTACCATTTATTTCATCAACACTTTAACAAAAACACTACATTAAGAATGATATTAAATACCAGAATACCAAACATCATCATAATACCGAACACATCAATAAAAAAGGAAGTACATTAACCCATAATTAAACCAAAATTATGATATCCTGACCATTAATAGTAATATCACATTGAAAGTATCACATAACAGTACAATGTACCCATCGATTTTGGATAAATATATATCTATAAATATTTATAGCGTCAACACAATGCACCTATAAAATTATTAATAGTACAAATCCAATGCATCAAAAAGGAGCCATTGTAAAGCTACAAAACACGATATCAAGAGACTAACACCATTAAGAACAACAATAAATATGAGAACACCAAACATCATCAAAATACCGAACATATCAATGAAAAAGTAAATGTATTAACCCATCAGGCTGCATGATTAGTTTTGCAATTTTTTTATTACAATTTATCCGCATAAAATACCATGATTCAGAAACCACACCTTTGATTTATTGAATAAATTACAACACAACAAATGGTTTATTACAATGCAAATCATAAACTCTATCATTTATAGACTGATACTAAAATTTTCAACTGAGAGAGACATTGAGCTGCTTCATTTTTTTATTAATATTATAGTTCGGCAGCTTTGTTGATATAAACTCAAAAAGAAATTAAGCCACTTTATTTTTTATTAATATTATAGTTCAACATCTTTAAAAAATTGTCTGACAAATTGTATGGAATCCGTTGCCTAACCATTGTCCATTATTATGATTGTTCAAAGCCTGCTATGGTCGATAACTTAACTGTCAAACCATCAATTTGGCTATAAAATGGTGATAGGCCAAATACCGATTGTGATATCATGATTTAAGAATGCTTGGAATTTCGATAGATCAAGGTATCATCGAGGTCTACATTCCATTGCTGAACCATAACCAGGATGTAATTAATTGCATTTATAGTTTTTTACAACTTTTCTAGGAGCACTGCTAAACCATGAATTTGAATACTTATCCATGATTTAAGGATAGCCGAAAATTGCATAGCTTGATATATCAGAAAGATAAACAATTCCATTTGTTCTTATATTAGTCTATGCTAGGTTATTTTTTATAATCAAACCAAGTATTAGGCAGCTTGCCTGATACCAACTTAGAGAGACGTTAAACCACTTAATTTTTTATTGATATTGTAGTTCGACATCTTTAAAAAATTGCCTAACAAATAGTATGGAATCCATTTCCTAACCACTGTCCATAACTATGATTGTTCAAGCTATCCAAATATTTACATCATCAAACGGTTGATATATTAGATGGAATTGGTTGTAGTCAATAAACGGTGATTTGTGGTTGTAGTCAATATACGATCCATAATTTATCCAGAAGGTATCATTGAGGTCTACATTCCATTGCCAAACCATTATCAGGATATGATTGGTTGCGTTTATAATTTGTTATAACTTTTCTAGGAACACTGGTAAACCATGAATTTGATTGGAATTTGGATACCTGGATACAATTTCATCTGTCCCTATATTGGTCATATTCAGATAAATACTCCTCATACTTCACATTAATTTCGCATTAACAATAATACATAGCAAATACAATGTATTGATCTCTTTCAGATAAATATCTATCCACAAAATTGCATCAACTTCAATAACACTTAATAAACAACATAACAATAATAACAAAATTAAATAACGATTGGGATTTTTTTTATTTTTTTTATGTGGACAACTATAATTCTTATTTAAGTTGCATTTAATACAAACTTATACTATTATGTGACATAAACAGTACCATTTATTTCATCAACACTTTAACAAAAACACTACATTAAGAACGACATTAAATAGCAGAATATCAAACATCATCATAAGATTGAACACATCAATAAAAAAGGAAATACATTAACCCATAATTAAACCAAAATTCTGATATCCTGACCATTAATAGTAATATCACATTGACAGTATCACATAACAGTACAATGCACCAATCAATTTTGGATAAATATATATCTATAAATATTTGTAGCGTCAACACAATGCACCTATAAAATTATTAATAGTACAAATCCAACACATAAAAAAGGAGCAATTGTAAAGCTACAAAACACGATATCAAGAGACTAACACCATTAAGAACAACATTAAATATGAGAACACCAAACATCATCAAAATACTGAACATATCAATGAAAAAGTAAGTGTATTAACAAATTGAGCTGCATGATTAGTTGGTACTTTGTTTATTACAATTTATCCGCATAAAATACCATGATTCAGAAACCACACCTTTGATATACTGAATAAATTATAGCATAGCAAATGGTTTATTACAATGCAAATCATAACCTTTATCGTTTATAGACTAATACTGAAATTTTAAACTAAGAGAGACATTGAGCCGCTTCAATTTTTTTATTAATATTATAGTTCGGCAGCTTTGCTGATATAAACTCAAAGAGAAATTAAGCCACTTCATTTCTTATTAATCTTATAGTTCGGCATCTTTAAAAAATTGTACTAACAAATTGCAATGATACACAACTGAACATGTGCCCCTTTTATAACCCTTATTTAGACCTTCCGAATACCAACGCAATTAAATACGAATTCAATACGAAGAAAGTTTTCCAATGTCAATACAATGCGCCTATATAATTATAGATAGCAATCCTAGACAAATGTCATTAAACCACAATTAGTAATAGCAATCCAATATACCTGTATACTTGTTATTAATGCACATCTTTGGAATGCCAATTTCCTTCACAAGTGCTTCGAATGCATTTGTTACGAGAAATCCTCGATTGGGCTTATCGAGAAGGTTCATTCCCATGATGAATGGTTGGGCTTTCGCTCTTGTCGGGATGAATGGAATGGGGCGGCAAGTAAACTACCAATGCCTTGATCGGGATCGAGGTAGTTTTTTCCTTATACATCTGTCATTTCTAGTGGATTTAGTGGTAAATGAGTTTGATGACCGAGTTGGTGTATCTAGAACAGCTTTCTCAGCCCCCTTGTGGGAGGGGATCACTTTTCATCTTCAATGAATGTGCTTGCTCTTCTGTCAAAATCTTTCTCTTCCTTGGTAGAATCTGATTGTTTAGTGGTATTAGAATGATAGGCGAGCTTGGTATTGAAAAAGAATTCAAAGAAAAGAGGAATTCGTGTCTTAAGGCCTCATCACAGATATAACCGAACTACAATATCAATAAAAAATTAAAGTGGCTTAACAAATAGTGTGGAATCCGTTGCCTAACCATTGTCCATAATTATGATTGTTCAAAGCCTACTATGATCGATAACTTCATAGTCAAACCATCAATTTGGCTATAGAATGGTAATTAAAAAAAATAGCGATTGTGATATCATGATTTAAGAATGCCTAGAATTTTGACAGATCAAGGTATCATCGAGGTCTACATGCCATTGCTGAACCATAACCAAGATGTAATTAATTGCATTTATAATTTGTTATAACTTTTCTAGGAACACTGCTAAACCATAAATTTGAATACTTATCCATGATCTAAGGATGGCCGAAATTTGGATAGCTCGATATATCAAAAAGATAAACAATTCCATCTGTTCCTATATTAGTCAGTCCCAGGTTATTTTTTATAGTCAGACCACGTATTAGGCAGCTTGCCTGATACCAACTTAGAGAGACGTTAAGCCACTTTAATTTTTTATTGATATTGTAGTTCGACATCTTTAAAAAATTGTCTAACAAATAGTGTGGAATCTGTTGCCTAACCATTGTCCATAATTATGATTGTTCAAAGTCTGCTACGGTTGATAACTTCACCTTCAAACCATCAATTTGGCTATAGAATGGTAATAGAGTAGATACTGATCCACAATTTATCCATAAGGTGTCATTGAGGTCTACATTCCATTGCCGAACCATTATCAGGATATGATTGGTTGTGTTTATAAGTTGTTATAACTTTTCTAGGAACACTGCCAAACCATGAATTTGGATATCTTGATACAATTCTATCTATTCCTATATTGGTCACTTTAGGAATATTTCATTGGTGCAAGTCCAAAGGAAAGGATAGTAAAAAATTTGTTAAACCTACAACTTAGAAAACATTATAAGAACGTCAAGATGGTTAGACCTTCCGGATGCCAATGCAATGCACACATACTGACAAAAGAAGTAAAAAATCGTCATCCATAATTAGGTGGCATGATTTGCTTGGCAATTTGTTTGTTGTAATTAATTGGCATAAGATATCATGATCCAGAAAACACACCTTTGATATATTGCTTGAGTATTAATAAATACATAGATGATTGGGACACATACAATTGAATACATCAAAATTATAGTATATTGAATACAACTAACAAATCTTTACATCATCAAACGTCAAACCACAAATGTTCATGTAGGCAAAATAACTTGCACAATAACAACTATCATAATCCAGCAACACCGAGCTCAAAATAACCAAATCTCTGAATCACCATCACCATCATGCCGGGATACTAACCATGACACTCCTATAGCACGAATCATTGACATCCACAATGACCAAATCCGATACAATAACATTCCATTCATAAATCACAAAATCGAACCTCAACTACTATCGGATTTTGCTATCCTGTGACAACAATGCACCAAGCAGCACAATTCGATGATAGTTGAGGGCTGATCGTGTCACCTGAAAACAGAGTTAGCAAAAACAATACTCACATGAGCCTTGTTAACATAAAACAATCCATAAATGTTTCATGTAGCTTAGTCCTAAAACAAATACTTACATATCGGCTGGAGCAAACAGATTAGTGAAATCACACACACACCAGGCAAGTACTATATCTATATGCACTGACACAAATTAGTGAAATCACATTTATATCTCTCGCCCCACACACACACACACACACACACATACATACATGAACTCTCATCATCGCCTGTTGAGATTCTTGCAAACAAGAACGTCTCATTGGAACCTTCCAAGAACGGCCACTGCTTGACTGAGCTTAAGAGTAGCGGGATGCTCAACTGGGGCAATAGGAAGAAAGTTCTGTTCCTCAGAAATGATGAGACGGAGAAACTAGACGGTGAAGAAGAAGATGTGAAGTTAGATCGGTCACCTGAGGAGATGAAGGGGAATCGGAAAAGAAAGAGGGCGGCGCACGTGTTCATTACTAGCTGTGAGAAGAAGAGGAAGAAGAAGAAGAAAGGGACAAACAACTTAAGTTCTAGATGGTCGAAAGAGAGATATCTAATAGCTGAAGTGAACATGCTGAAGATAATGAAGGAGAAAGAAACGGTGTTTGGGAAGCCAATATTGAGGCCGGCGTTGAGAATGGAGGCAAGGAAACTGATCGGTGATACCGGTCTGTTGGATCATTTGTTGAAACACATGGCGGGGAAGGTGGCGCCAGGGGGACAGGAGAGGTTTCGAAGGAGGCATAACGCCGACGGAGCCATGGAGTACTGGTTGGAGAGGGCTGATTTGGTTAATATTCGCAAAGAGGCTGGAGTTGAGGATCCTTATTGGATTCCACGGCCTGGTTGGAGCCTTGGTGATAACCAGATTCAGGATCCTGTTTGTGCCGCGGATTTCAAGCTGCTCAAGGAAGCCATGGCCAAAATGGAAAGGTTACTACGTGCCTGAGGCTTGTTAATTTCCTTATAACAAATTGATGTTGAATAATACTGATATATATATCTGTGTTTGTTTGGAAATCTACAGGAACATGCAGGAGCTCTTGTTAAAGAAGCAAGAGGATGATGTGGCTGTTGTGAACACTCCAAGTTCTTGTAACACGAGTCAGAACTTTGATCATGACAACTTCTTGCTTCCATTGAAGGTAAATGATTAACTAGTGAACAGGGGATTTGATCCCCCAGAGTGTTGTTAATCTAACTCTTTCGGTGTTTGTTGGATTGTTTTGGCAGGAGATGTATACAGATTTGGTGAATAAGAAAGCTAAGATTGAAGGACAAATGATGGAAGTTTCACTTTCTCTTCGTGGAATAGAGGTATTCAATTATTAAACCTTCAATTACTGAGTTTCCTTTCATTTCTGATATGTTTATCTGCTTTTGAATCTTTGTCCGATAATTGAAAACATGTGGTGATTAATGGTACAATAATTAATGCTGGACATGATTAACAAACATTCGATAGTATTAATTAGTTAATATTTTAGTGATGATTGGTTATTTATGGTGTCTCTCCTTAAAACTTTAACTAATTTCATACATTGCATAAATTAATGGTAATCATGCAGGTTCTAAACTTCTAATGGAGAAGCTAAAATCATCAGTGGAGTAAACAAACAAATCAAAATCAACCCCACTATATCACCTGCGGCTACGACAAAAACAATAATATTAGAAGACAAAGCCGCCAAAATAGAAAGATTGAAGAGCGGCTTCAGGATTTGTAGGCCACAGGGGAGTTTTATGTGGCCAGACATGGCAATGTCGGCTAAGGATATAGTCCCTCTTGAAGATCTCACTATGGTCCCAACACCTCCCTCAGTTTCCTCTTCCTCCACCTGACCACCACACCTCCTACTCTCTCCCGACCTTCCCCAAATGGAAAACTATTCAATATCCCTATTCAAGCCACGGCCTGAGAGGCGCCCCATTGCTGTCACTGTTGTTTCATTTGTATGTATAACTTCACCTGCTATCTCAATTTCATTTTTATCATCAGTTTTTTTGCTATGTATTGAAGATGATATATGTTAAAGTTGGCATGCACTTTTTGTTACAGTTGCAACCTGAAAAGCAAGAGGATGCTATGAGGCAAACCGTGGGAGGTGAAAGAAAGGAAATATTAATGGATTGTGAGCAGAAGAGAAGGGGATGCTCCTCAACTTCATCATCATCTTCTTGGCTGGCTCTAGCCACCCCGAATCCACCTTTGCATAAACGGGGTTGAACATTTATTATTATCATGCCATCATCACCACCCAATTTATATTTATATTTGTTGTTTTAGCAAGGAAAGAATGATAATTTGGCTCTTATATTATATTTAGAGGTAACATGCATGCAAGATGGTTTTTCAATTTAAGAACTTTAATCTTATTCTTGAAAAAAGTTAAAAGGATATGGTTTGAAAAAAAAAATAATAATAATAAATAAATAAATCAAATTCTATAGCTTAGAATATACATTTGAACTATTGTTGGGAATGTCTTCAAGGTTGATGTGACAAGAGAGTGCAGTCGTGAGCTTCTTTATGTCATCTGTAGTACGCACTGCAGTTAGAGTTACCCGTAATCTGAAAAAGTAAAAGAAAAGTAAGCGATCAGCAAAACATTTCGATACAAAAATATTACAATATAACTGACAATGTTGATAGACATCAACCCAAGTTGGTCCAATCTTCAACAACATATAGAACATAATATGAATCGCCGTGGATTTCTTTAATAAGTTCTCAGTTTTCTAGACATATTTCCAATATGTTCTATTTTTGGTATGTTAGTTGATGGATGAACAACTTTGCTAAACTGAATACTGAACACGATCTAACTCTAACACGAGCCATTGCCAGGAAGTTCAGTGTGTGAGACAGGAGACTAAAGGAATCTGCGGTATATTGTTAACCCAACACATGTTTTGCATATGTTTGAAAGCTACATGTACCATTATAAGTTAAAATAAAGTATTTCCACCATGCATTGTTCACGAGGATCTAAATGGACAATTTTGGTTCAGCCACTGGCAAACCAAAATTGTTCTACATATGAAAAGTTGTCTCACAATATCAACAACCATTTTTAGGCATATTAGAGGGAACACTTGGGAAATACAACCGTACCAGATGGGAGTGAACATTATAGGAATGTTGGAAAGACTCATGCAACTGAAACTAAGTTAGACAAGTTAACAGAAAGTATAAAAAGTATTATAAAGGAACTGCAACAAACCTGCATGAGTTGGAAGGGACTGTTGGCCATCTGATTGTAGTCACATGGAAACCAGATTCTAAGAGATGCCTGCTCCATAAAATTGAAACAGTATGAAGCTGTTGTAGCCATGGCTATAAGCACACAAACCAGAAGGAGCTGAGAGAGAAGACCGGAGATACCTGCTAGCTAGGAGGGCCTTCTCTTCACTCCCTACAATAAGAGATATAATGGGACTTGAGATTCGGACTCCAGTAAGAGCATGAAAGTCTTGAACCTGGTTCCAAATAGCCCTTCTATGCCATGTTTCCTATTTTGCCACAATAACAGCAGCTGCTAAGTCATACTTGCTTTGTCAACAACAGAAAGTACCGCAACAAGAGGTAATGGCTGAAGCATAAGATGCCTTGAGACATCATAAAATAAATTTCTTTCAACATAAAGGATTTACTCATTTTTATTTTTTTACCATTTTGCAAGGGCACAATTGTACCACAAACAGACTCGTCATGCAAAATTTCCTGCCCCCAAACCAAACTCAATTTGGAATAACTATTCAACTCTCTTTGTCATTGGAACTCGCATCTAGTGGCAAAACTGGTTATACCACAACAATTCATCATACGATTGCTTTACCTTTTAAAACATCTTTTTACATTCCATAAGTGCTAGTACTCATTAATGGGAAACTAACTAAGACAATCCAAGAAGTGTTATGCCACTAATTTGTCTGTACCATGTGCTGCAGCAGCAATGGGAGTTGATGCAGAAGTTGAAAATATAAAAAAACAACCCCTAGATTGTATGAACTGCTTCCACCTTTTGCTGTATAGAAACATTACATATGCACATAAGATGCTCTTTATAGCAAACAAGAAAATGGAAATCATAAAATGCGTCAGTAACTATTTTGTGTGAAAATCAATAACTTTCAAGCTATGTCCCGCCGAAAGAAAAAAAATAGCTTCATCAATCCGCAAAGAAGCAATCAAAACCAAAATTTTGAAATTAGATATCTTTTATTGTTTGTATCAAAGAAACGAATTATGTCCCTTCATCCTTGATCCTACAAAAACCTTCAATACTTTTACTCTCAAGCTAAAATGGCTTCTGCTTCTGTTGAGATACCAACAATGGAAACATGTAAACTTAAATTGGGGAAACTCGTGAATCTTTTGTTAAGCATTAAGTTGATTCAAGGTTGTTCTTTCTAAGCAATTTCATTGCACTTGTTTCTGTAATAGTTTAACACCAGATGTCTGTAAACACTGCGACAATATGCTAGGCAATTCTTCAATCACCAAAAGCGAAAATTAAAGAGAAAATTTCGAAGAAAATCTATTGAAGTACTAAAACAACCTTGTTGTAGGCCTACATTTGAGCAAAAAAGCACAATGTAAGGGAATTGTTCTGCTTTCTGTGCTATGAAACCACCATGACAACCTGCCGCCTTACTCAGAGTGCCAATGCATATGTCTATATCTCTTTCGCAATTGAATTCCTCAGCCACTCCCCCACCACTTTTGCCACAGACAAATGTTCCATGAGGCTGAAAATAGTTAAGGAATAGTTACTTGGTGCTGGCATACACCTGCAGCTAATTTATGAAGAAGATAACATCTTTCCCTATGCCATACACTATAAAATTTTGGACAAGCTTTTTAGCATATGAAAGAGAGGAAAGAGAATATATATCAACTGAAAAATGATTTATTGAAGAATCAATATAATTAGAATAGTTTTTGAAAAACTGAAATGTTAGACCTTTTTATGTAGCATAATTTAAAGGCTTTAAGTGTGCAAGAAATAAATGAGTATGTAGTCCAATTCCTCAACAAGCGTCATGTAAAAGACAAACTCATAACAATTTCTTCAAGTGCTAACTACTTGAACATTTTCTTTTATGCCTAGAAATTCCCCAACCTTTCTTAAATGTTCATGAATTTTAAACTGGGGATTACAAGAAACTTATTGGATGTATCCAAGTAAGTGCTTTGGGGAGTGTTTTACCCCTAACCTCTTGGTTGATTCCAAAAGTCTATACCGCTTAACCCAACCCTTGAAGTCAAACAAGTTCAAAATAAACTAAAAAGAAAAAAAAAAGGGTAGAACACGGGACAATCAAGACAACTTACATCATCTAAGACTAACAAAAAGCCATACTTCTTGAGAAGCTTCACAAGTTCAACCATTGGTGCAAAGTCTCCATCCATACTAAACAAGCTGCAGAAAGAAGAGAATTAAGCACATCGTTAAGAAAATATGCCAAAGTTAAAACATCAGGATTTTCAGCAGTAAAAACATTAAAAAATAAATAAATAACACAACATATAAACATAGTAAGACCGGCAATCTGTCAAACATATGGTATATTACCAAAACACCTAGCAAATATTTCCAAAAGACTAGTTGAAGTCACTCAGAGGACTGTGAACCACAGAGCAGTAAGGTTTCGTAGACAAGATGCAAAATATCCAAGGTATAATACACTCATAAATGGTGTCAGCCGTGTATCTGAAGTTTACAATCTTATTAGGAGATTTAACAGAAGTAGCTTCTTGAACTGCCTTGAAGATGTGGTGGCCTTACCATTAGATACTCATCTCTGGAGACAATCTCATCTCCTGAAAATCCAAAAAGAAACGGTTAAGTATCAAATAAAGTACTAAGCCATGTCTCCACTCATATTGTTAATAGCCCTGTCCAAGTAAAATCCAAGGAGCGACACTAGTGCATAAATCGTTCACCAATAACTATATGACAATGTTTGGTAAGCCAACTGTCCTGTAGCATTTGCAATACTATAATGACTATTATATTGGGTATATTTTAATCATAAAGTATTTTTTGATTAATTTTAATAAATTTTACAACCTAAACTTATTGTACAGAATTATGTATATACATTGAGTATACAGGGTTTTAATTAATACAGTATGTATTAATTTATTCACTATGAATATGATACGGGGCTATTGTACAATCCTACAAAACGTTAACTAAAATCTTGGCAATATCATCCTAAAAACAATGGATAAAAAGAAGCAAAACCAAGTATAATGAAAACCACATAAAAATATCATTAAAACCAATCAATATAAGACAAAGAAAGGGAGCAAAAGTACCAGAACAAGGAATGCCATGGAGCCATCTGTGAAAGGTGGAGTCAGAGATTGATATTTCAACGGCAGATCGATCTCAGGGTTGCATTTCATCGAACACCTCGTAATGATCGTCACGTTCTTCGACGGGTGGAGACTGTTCTTTCTGTAGTTCATTAGAGGAGACGTAAATGGGCCTTAGAGAGCGAAGCACTTTTTAAATTTGAAGCTTTGAGAGTGCTGCTTCGACCCAGTGGTCCCACTCCCACAAGTTCGTCTCCATTTCGCAAAATACGATGAATGAAGAACGAATGGGACGGAACAGAGAGAGTTTAAGAAGTAGAGATGAGTTTAGTTGGAGTTGGCCGCTATTTACTCGACTGTCAAAGACGAAGTGGGTAATTGCAAGTTGGGCGGAGTCCGGGTCCGGGTCAGGGTCGGCGCAAGTTAATGTGAAGTCAAATATTCTTACTTTGTCATGTTTGACTTGGTTTCTAGAGGTTCATATTTTGGTTCAATAATGTTTAATTGATTTTAA